CAAGAAAGGTACAAACACCAAAGATTCGAGCATTAGGAAAAGAAAGAGATAAAGCAGAGAGGAGGCTGAGAAAGAACGAGAGAGGAAGAGGCAAATTTGTCAATTAGTTCTTTTTTCGGCACCTAGGCCTGTGGTCCCATTGTCCAGACCCGGACAAATTACAGCACGGTGCATGCGTGCGAAACACAGGGTCTGCGGCCAGTACAGCGTTACGCTAAACAGATTTCCTCCTCTTACAAATTCGGAACCGGCGAATTGAATGGAGCGTCCAGAAACGGTGAGATAAAGGAATGCACAGGGGATGAATGGCAATGTGAATGAGAACGGGTTGTGAAGGAGAGGTGGAGAAGAGGCGCGAGAGAACACAAACCGAGCGAACGAAATTACCGGCGATGGTCATTGAAGTCGAGCAGCGCGTGAAGCAACGGCATTGTCGATCTCGGTTTCTCGCAGGTTGAATCTTCAGGTTACTGACTCCCATAGGATCCGTCGATCTAAGGGAACGGCGGCGCAATCAAATTATCCCTGAGTTGGGAAAAAAACTTGCGATACTTGTGCAAATATTTTCGTTAATTGAATCGTTGGACGAAATATCAATTTCGCTGTCCTTTTTGTAATCTTTAGCACAACACAAACTATCTCCTTTTTATAGGACAATGAAAGATTTTATCTACGCGATTCCAGACAATAAGGATGTATTTATTAGAAATTTTTGATTTGTTACTTTCAATATTTAAATATTTTTTTCTCAATTAAACGGAAGCGTGATCGGAACGGCAACGGACGGACAAGGTCTCGCCGAGATCTCGTCGTCTCCGAGAAGAAACACTATCCTCGAGACAGGATACTCGGTATAAGAAGAAATCGTTGATGGTAAGCGATATGCGCGAGTTTTCTGAGCGCGCGTATGCGTAAGACTTCTCTCTTCGCTACGTTATACGTGCCCGGTTTATGTGCCGACATATCGACCGATATATTGATCGCACATAGACGGAACTCTCGGCCAGACGTTATATCAAGACGACAATATCGACTTACATTACACGAACGAACGAGCATCTATCTCGGTGGGAACCGAAGCCCCACGAGCTTCTTGAGTTCTTCTTAACGGCTGTGATCTCTCGGTTCGCCCGAGATTCTGAATCCTGTGCATGCCACGTCGATCGCTATGCCGACGAAGGATGAGGTCGACGAGGTGGAACCGGCGCTCGCAGGAAGCACATCGAACTCGCGCGACATCGCGCATTTCTCTCTCTCTCTCTCTCATCTTGAATCAAGGAATTTCAAGGAAAAGTTTCACTTGCAGGAAACCGTCTATATGTAGCCAATGAGGAAAAAGAAATACGGGAAAATTATACGTTTTCACGGTAAATTTATGTTTTTCTCAATACAACAATTCTGAAATATGCAATTATCGGCGCATCGCGATTAAATACACAATTAACTCAACTCAAACTAACGACAATTTAGTGATTCGGGACGAGAAAAGGTTCAAATTGCAACGTTATACTGATAACAAAGTGACTGCTAGGCAACTTTTATGCTGCTCGCGAATATCAAGGTCAGCGGCAGTCACGATCGCTTGGGTCGGATCTCGGTGCGAAGAAGAAATCTCTGAACAATTTCAAGTCAGTAGCGAGAAGATGAGGTTGATCGAACCACCGGATAGCGGTAGCACTGAGGGAGAAGAGATGGGGGATCGAAATGGTGGAAGAGCGGGGGCGGCGGCTAGATGGGAGGGAAACCGAGAAACGGCGAAATGACGGCGGTCGATGGATGGTTCGTTAAGTAGATGGCTGGTCGGAGGACTAAGCACCAAAACCACCTCACTGTGGTTTCACACCCGCGGAGTGAGAGAGAGAGAGAGGGGGGGGGGTGAGCAAGAGAAAGAAAGAGAAAGATATAGGGCAGCAGTAAACAACTCGGAGTTCCTTCGGTCAGGACTCGTGTGTTCTTTCGGCCGAGATCGACGACGACGAGGCTGCGATCTTTGACGCAGAAGTTGTCTTCTGAGAATTGATCACCGACGACAACGCGAGCATTAGTGTGACGACAATTGTCAGCTGTGCGATGAATGTCTCAGATAAACGACGATGACGACAAGCAAATTAGAACAGCGCGTTAAATTATTAATTAATAATCATGGAAAATCCGTTGCAAACTTGCGTGCTCTCGCAATTAGGTTTGGATTTTACGCTCTTGATTTCGTATAGACGAAAGAGTGGATTTTCCTTGTGCGTAGGAAAGTACTAAAGATGTAAATGACACTGTAGCTAATTTACATTTTATTACAATTATTTGTCGCTTAATATACTATACGACAAGTGATCCAATCTAAATTTAACTTTACCATAAAATACAGGTTTTTGCGAAATGTAGCGGTTGGAAAATGTTGTATGTCTCAAATTCGGTTTATTGGTTATTATATTGACGATTGTAATGCAAGGATAATAAAGTCTATAAAAGAAAATGATTAAGTGCATTATACTTAGAATAGCGTTAATTGGAAGGATAAATTCGGAAATGTCTGTAAAAAACCGGAGACGTATGGTCATCGTACTAATAAAGCATTGTTAAGCAAAAAGTGAAGAAAAGAAGAAGAAGAAGAAGCAGAAGAGGATAAAAAACGATCCTTCGTTCTGAATGGAATAGGACGTAATTTTTCTTTTCTCACTCGTCCGCTCATAGAGAATCATTCGGGAGAAACGGACTATTATCCAACAGATGGTCCTGCCGACACCAATCCAAGTAGAGTGTTGTGTTAGTGCCTTTGTTTTGTTACCGTTGTTCCGGTAATTGCGGCAAATACACGGCCATTTTCGGTAATCATCCCCTTCTACACCCTGGCCTGATCGTCCTGCACGGCGGCCCTCTTTGAGAATTTCGAAACGACCTCGACCTTCCGCTTAGTAGGCGTAACGACAGTTTTGCCCGAGAACCGATCGGTACCGATCTCGACCTCACCTCATGATAGAACTTGGTCGATTTCAACGATATTCGAAACCACTTGTACCTGTCGCATCTATCAATGGCTTCAACTTATAAATTCCACGTGTCTCTATCTGAGAAATAGAACATTGTCCAAGAATAATTAACATGGAAATTCCAATCTACCGTCAACAACTAAGCTTCACAAGTATAATGAAGTAGATAACGACGGATTCCAGGTAGTATTGCCAAATAGGGGAAACTTGGATAAGGTTGGAACGCGTTCGCGAGAATAGTATTTTACATATATTTTCCATGTAGGCAGAGGGATTCCCCACTCGTGAAGGCTTGCACACGAAAGAGGTAATTCCGACGAGTTTCGTGCAAATTTTCCTCAAAACTGTGAAGAAAACGTTTAGTAGCAGTGAGATATAATTATCGTTTGAAAGAATATGTTATTAACAGAGATTTTATTAAAAATTTCGTGATAAAAGATAAGATTGAGATAAATTTGGGATTTTCTACTAAAAATATCTCAAGGTTAAATAAAAGTTTTACGAAATATTTGTAATATTATTTAATATTACTGAAATATTTATATTTTCTGAAAATTTTTTTAATTTAAAGATTTTCAAGCTTTTTGTAAAAAAGACTGGTGCATTTCGAAACTTGATGATGATTACGATGAAGGAATTCCCGGAATAAAGCGAATGATGAATACGCTGTTGAAAGCCGAATTTTATCGCTAACCGATCTCCATTTTTCCAAAGATAATCATCAATGTTTTCGTCGATTTTCCACAGATTCTTTCCGTTTGAGAAACGCTGATATTGTTACTCGTACTATTGCATGCTAACGTCGGATTAAAAAGGCCACCGTTCGTGTGGATTAATCAATAATTTTTTTAAGAACGAAGCGTAAATATACTATATATTAAATTTATTATATTATAAAATAGTATATAATACTGAATGAACATATAAGATACAAAAACCACAATATACATAACATAAAATTACATTTTATAATATTTTTCTAAATCAGACAAAATAGAATATAAATATAGAAATATTGTAGAATGTATGTATATTTTAATTAAGCAAAATGTTTCATCATTTTATACATATATGGGACAATGACACCGTAAAATTTCTCCGAATCGTATATGATTCATCGCATTATCATTTTTCTCTTCTCGTCTTTCTCTATATTAGGAATGATTCTAATCGAGTGTGCGCGGGATACATAATGCTTTAGAAATTCCAATATACTTACAACGATATATATAAGAGATACACGAGAAATAATATTACTAATACTTCCGACAAATAAATAGAGCTGCAAAAGAACAATGATTTAATTTCTTTCGTGGAAGCGAGCGCCTCGCAAAGTAAACTGTAAAAGAATGAAATTGTAAAACTTGACAAAATGATTTCCGCAGGAATTAAAATACATAATAATATCGTCACATACTTTGATTACGGAAGTAAATTACTTATGTAGATCAAGATCCGGGAAGATAGCACGTGTTGAAAGTTGCGAATCATTCGATCGTATATTTACACTTTTCTCAGCACAATTGTTACGCAATCGGCGCTTAATGATCTCGATCTCGTGATGCGATGCGACTCGTCTGTATCGTAGTACGAGATGCACACGCATGATGCATATACGTTCACTTCCAGCGTTTAAGTTTCCGTCGCGCCTACTTCGACTCGTGACTCATGTCAATTAGTCTATGTTACTCACTCGAAACTCCGTTACCGACTCATACGATTTGCTGTGCATTTTAAGAAGTACGTTTTACGGTACATGGCCATAAAATTTAGTCCTTTAACTTGTTATGGATTACACACGGCATTTATTTAAATTAAGAGATAGCGCATAGATATAAATATGTAATATTTTTAAGTATATTTACTCGACTAAAAATTTGTATTCTACGTGATATTTAATTAAAGTGTAACGGATTAAGTATCAATCTTGTCTTGCAAAATATTTATGTCATAAGTCTTATTCGTATAAAAAATTGTTAAAATAATTGTAAGGAAAAGTAACACTTTCTGTTCCAGATACGGGTATAGGTTCCACAGAATGGGCCTATCCATCCACAGCACCTTCTTATCCAGCTCCTCCAGTCAGCAGCAGTGGTTCCTACTCTCCTTTGCCTGGCGGTGCATTTTCATATCCAGGGGAATCACTGTCACATCATCCAACAACAGAACCGGTGCCATTACCAACCGGTACGATTAATTAATACATAAGACAATTAAAAAAATTGAATAGATTTACGTCGATAATCCAGCAATGTGATTGGTCGACGCACGGCTAATTAAGAAACACGACGGTTTAATAATATTCTGACGCATATCTCGTTCCAGGAAAAAGTTTCGTAACGCGCTATCTCGAAGGTGTCTCATTTATATCTATTTTAGAAAATATATTACATTCGACTTTTTAAATACAGAACCTCACAGGATGTAGTAGACCGCTATGCTAACAATTATTTAGAAAAGTGGGAAAAAATTGTTTAAATAAAATTTGAAATTGTCAAAATATGTCCCAGCGAGACTGCATAGTAATTAAAATTTTATAAATTTTTTGATGACTTATTATTCGCGCAATTTGTTGGTTATAAATTTTCCTGATATTTTGGAACGGTTTGTAAATGAGAACGATATTATTTTCTGCTTGCAGTACTTTCTTCGGAAACTCAACAGGACACCTACACGCCGAATTGCGTTTCCATGTACTCGGGACACGGCACTTCGCCGACCACGTCCTTGCCCCTGGTACCGACCAGACCAAGCGACCCTGACATCTTTGCCGGTGGTGGCACGGGCAGTGCGGGTAGCCCGGGTTACCATTACAGTTCCTGGACACCTGGCCCGGCGACCCCGGTCCCAGTGGCTTCCCACAATTACAACCCCAATTATCAAGGCTACTATAACAATCCGAGTCAGAATTACATTACGGGTCCGACACCAATGGTCCTCTATCCTCAACTCTACAGCACCGTCAATCAAAACCAGATTCATCTGCACTTACATGGCGATTTAAGCGAGGACCAGGTCACCATAGCCGGTGGCAATCTTACCATCAGTAGCATCCGAGAGATCGGCGTACTCGGCGAGGAAAACGAGCAGAGAAACGACGTGTGGAGGCCGTATTAAACAGAAGAGATCTCCGTTGATATCATTTAAATGGCCAGAGTGGCACATCATGTGCGAATTTCAAAGTGTGGCAATGTCATTTTTAATTAGTGCTCTAATTAGTGTAACATATAACAAAGACAGCAGGATCTGTACCGAGCATCAAACTCCAGAAGAGAGACGCGCGTAAGACAATTGCTGCATGAATAGCAATGTTTCTTCGGGTCATTCACAGTTGCGCTAATTATCGCGTCTGTAAAAGTTGGTGAATGATATCCGGTGTTCCATAGTGATCGTGTATGAAAGTGAAAATTATTGACTCATTCACGTTGAATGAATTAACATTTCACAAACATAGAAGTGAAACAAACTTTACTAAAAACAATTCCTCAGTTTGTGAAAAATCCACCAATAATGGCAGATTTTATTGAATAAAACTGACTGTATTAATAAGACCAATCAATGAGTGAAGAATCATCATTGTGCGTACATACAAAAATGAAAAGCCTCTCGGTGTTTCGTAATGATCGTGTCTATGAAATTATTGATTCGCTCATGTTGAGCATGAGACAAAGTAAAACAAATTTTATTAAAAAAAATCTTTCTTAACAGATTAGCGAATATTTGCAAGATCTGTTAAATAAAGGGAAAACTGATAAAACTAATACAAGTAATTGGAGAATCGTTATGTGCATACAAGATGGAGCCTTCATCTTCATTCGATTGTTTCTTGAAACGAGTTGAGAATCATGAGAATATCGTTTGATTCTTGAGCGGAGAAGTTAGTCAAACCATCTGTAACGTTGTAAATATACACATATTTTCAGAAATGAAATAAATTTGCCCGATAGGTTTCTACATCCTTTCTCTTGACGCGTCGTGGAAACACTTGAATACAAGTATCAAAGATAATGGAGTATGTTTGAAATTCCTCCTCTTATATCTAATGAATCAATAGAATATACCATGTGAATAAATTTTTTAAACTCTTTTACATCTTAAACACGAATTTAAGATCAATTTCAGAAATAATGAATGGATAGTTAATTTCGGCGGGGTCTTGACACATAAATACGATAGAAAAATCTTTATTCGTATGAGAACAGACTATAGTAACGCCGTTGTCTCTTTCGTCATGGGGGAACGGATAACCCTTTTTACGAGCGCAGCAAGCTCTATTTAATATTTAAAGCACGTTGGAAATGACGAACGGATGGATAGTTGCGGTCTGGCTGGTCGCGACAACGTCGGTTCGTCGTTCTTGCGTCCCTTTATTAGCGAGTCACCCCATGCCGTTTCGTGTCATTTAAATCTTTAAACTTGCCTCACCTAAATTAACGCATAGAATATTTTGCGTGATAGCTAATTTATTTACCGGTAAAAATAATGGATCGCAATTAAATTATAGTCAGACCATATCAGATCACATCACTAAATTGTAATTCAGAATAATTCTTTTAAAATTGCACGCGTTTATGAACTAATTAAATGTTAAAAATGGAATAATTAATTTTTATTCAAATTTTCAATCTTCCTTCTATACAATTTTCTTTGAATTTATTACATTTGCGCGCAATACATGAATCTTAAATCAGAAATCCGTTAGAGACCAACACACCACAAAGATACACCGTCGCATTTGATAGAAAATAATAGAAGATTGTCTAAACATACGTTGGAGTAAAATTACTACGTGGTTAAGAACTTAATAAGCATCTTGGCGATTTTGCCGTTTGCCAATATATATATACCACGACGAAGTAATCTTCATAAGTAACTGGAATTAAAGTATAATAAGAGACTAGCAATACTAAATGTCTACTTCCCAGTTATAAGTAATCCCCCCCTCCCTCTCTCTCTCTCTCTCTTTCTCGTCTCCTTCTCTAATATACAACCACATTATTTATTTCTACAAATAACTGCAAGACTACTGAAAATATTCGGCAAAAGCCTAAATCACAAAGAAACCTTTATTTCATTGAAATTAATTAAAAGTAATTGCATTTACTAAGCAAACCTTCACAAATTTCCATTACTTTTCCATTCGTCAAAAAGTTAAATGTTGAAGAGAATGTGTAAATTAATATCTGATATTCTGCGCATTTCGTTTTCTTTTTCTTCCTGACGATAGATAAAGCGATGAAAACTGCTGATAAAGATTGCGAAAAATTGTTGCTACTTCAATGACTTCACACTTCGCAGAGATCTCTTCACTTTTCTCCCACTTCTTTTACCCACGATGTTTACAGCCTCAACGCGTCCTGCGAATGGGACGCCACGAATAAAACCACGGAATAAGCCAAGGCGGCCGTCGCTCGTAAGCTTCTCTCTTTACGAGGATGACTCGACTCGCAGTCAACCGCAGACGAGAGTCTCCCGCCCTTTTCTACGTCCGTTAAAACGAACTGAAATACATTTCGTCTCGCAGGAAACGGTCGACATCTTTGGTACCAGCCGAGCATGGTTGATGGGAATAAATCGCGTAGTACTCGCGACCTCCGATCGAAACAGTCTTTAAATCCTTGATAAAATATTGTTCTCAGGATCTCATTCACATCCAGCTAATGATAAATGAAAGATTGAAAATATTTCAATTAAAAATAAATATTATATTCCTAACCAACGCGCGCAACAATTTAAAATAATAATTCAGATATTAGAATTCATTTATTTTTATGTCCATACATTTTATTAGAGATACACGTTTCATACCATATATCGTATATATATTTTGTGGACGCACTTTAGCTGCATTGAGATCCATAACGATTTCTCGTTATTCCCAGTCACTCTATTTCTCGTACATTTAGATACTTTTGGGGAAAAACAGGGGATACATAGGCACATTTTATTATCAATTATCAACCCTTCCATTTAAACCATCTGATGTTCAACAACATTTACAACATTTATGGAATATACCATACGTAGAGAAACATCGGGGATAATATCTGATATATACATTAACATTCAATTATAATCTCTACATTAATTGTAAAACAAGGAAAATAAATTAGACCAACCAATAACACCAGCTATGCTTACAGAATATGTAATATAAAATATCATTACATTGCTATTATCTCAACTAAACTCGCCAACATTGTTACGTTATATACAATAAAATAGAATATTCATTGTAAGGAATATATATAAAATCCTTTTTAAATGTCAAAATTCTTTGCTCTTCTCTTCTAAAAAAGTAGATAATTGTTATTTATACTAGCAACGAAACTTGCGCAAAAAATAATATATTCCGTTTTTCAAGATCACGATAAGATGATCTCTTGATGAGAGTGCCAATATCACTTGTGTCGCGTTCGCCACGAGACACCTTTCATTCGTCGCCCGTGTTTTCAAGCTTTACGTTGGAAGCAAAAATCCGATACACCCGGCACTATGACTGGACCGCAAACTACAGTTAAGCGCAAAGAGCATAAAATGAGAATCGAGACGTGCATGCGAAATGGATCGTAAATAAAATCCTTGTCTCCAACGTGTCGACGCGTCGACATATACGGAAAAAATAGAGACCCGCGTGATAACGGAGAAACATTGTATCTTTTTCTTCAAATTTAATTTACTCGTATCGATTGATATATCTTAATTTGATCAAAAATTGCGGAAAAAATATATCGACAGATCCTACACCTTCCTACTTCTCTTTTCGATTTTGCGTATCTATCACAGTAATAATAAGGAACTTGAAAAATAAATCAAGCATGTTAAATAATGTTTTCTTCACTTCTTGAAAAGTCTTATACCTAAGGCCGCGATGGCGCACATACCATGCTCGATCGCTATTAATTATTTGTCAATCCATAAAGCACAGCGATACGGTGAAAGAGAGCTGAAAGACGTTGTTTCAGGCTCTGATCTATGGCATGTCTGGTTAATATTCGCACGCCACGTACGAAAACTGGAAGCAACGGTGCCAATCGTTCATCCTGCAAAAAGATTTACCACAATTCACATAAAATGATTCAGGCTTATAACAATTATTCATACATTCGATGATTCTTATTTGAAAAATGAAATTATTACTTGAAAAAAGTTTATGTCCTTAATTTTAACATTATAATATTCAAACTTATTTTACGATATATTACAACTAAACTTACATAATGCATGTATGTAAAGAAAAATATAGAAAAAAAAACTCACTGGTAAAGCTAAAGCCCATTCCAATGCAATGACCAAAGTGTCTGCCCAAGCTTTCCTATGAGCCTCGCTGTCTTTATTGACGTTTCGCGACAATCTCTGAACTTGCACTTCCTGATTAACGATCGACTGACTCTCTGCTGTAGATGTCTCTTCTTCGTCCCGCAAAAAGGGATTTGTTCTAAAGCCACGCTTGCTACGTTCATAATCGCGCAGTAATTCGTCTATATTGTCAAGGATCTGTGAAGATTTAGAATTCTTTTTGTTCTCCTCTTTGATACTATCTTCCAGGTCGCGAGACTCGCTGGAAGGATCATTGGACATCATCCAAGCAGGTTTTCTGCGCAGCTCCATCACCGATTTTGGCCGAGAATCCGTGGAATCGATCAGCAAAGACTTATCTTCATTCTCAAGTTCTGCCGCCGTGACAAATGTTAAAGATTTCCGCCTAGATAACAGACCCACGTCGCTACCATGTCTTTCCAAATATGATTTTTTATATAAAAAGCCTTCGTCAGAAAACGAATTTCGATTTAGCGTTTTCATATCAACTATGGAAGTTCTCATAGAGTTTGACTCCGTTTTCCAATGCGAGTCCGAATTATAAGAGAAATTGTCACGGCTGTACATCATCTTGGGAGGTGCCGGAGTGACAGCATTATACTTGGCATCGATATAACCTTCGCTGGAAGTTCCACCAGAGCGATCGAGGTAAACAATTTTCTCTGTGACCGATCCCAATCTAGACATCGGTCTAGAGTCGTCGGTTTCTGGCTCGGACTGTGGACCGGAATCAGTTGAATATTCCGCAGCCAGATCCGACAACCTGAAAGGTCTCGGATCGTTTTCACTCTCGGCTCCAAGCTCCTCCAAGCCGCTCTCGTCATCCAAGTTTGGATTGTATACATCATCCGGATCATCTTGATCATCCTCCTCGTCACCATCCGGCTGGTCTTGACGGATGCCAGGATCTTTGTCCAACGACTCGACGAAGGCTGGAGTATTGGTGACAAGCCGATCGTCAATAGGCTCCTTCCTTGTAATCTCGGGATAATCATCGGGTTGCGCCACCAGCAAGAATATCTTCCGCTCTGCGAAACTGTCGACCTTGGTATACTTGCCGTCCTCGTCAAGAACTACTTCGACGTAAGTCTCGCAAAGCTCGTCAAAAATCGTGCGGAGTTGCCGCAGATATTTATTAAGTTTTCGGTGCTTGATGTCGTAGACGCACTCTCTATCGCCCAGCCCTGTGCCCAGAATGGTCTTCACCAGTTCCAGAGTCGCGGGAAGCTCCTCTATCTCGCGTAAACATAGCTCGAACAACGTGATGATTTTAATGGTCCAAGCAGCAGCCGCTTGACGATATAAATTAGCCGGTTGGTCGAGATTCGCTACCTTCTGTACCAGGAATTTCAAACCAGGTCGGCAATCAAACTTTAATGCAGCGACGTATGAAAAGTCCAGAGCAGAAAGGAAAATCTCCACGTGATGCGGACTCAGATGAGACAGGTAACCCCGTTTGACGTTGGGATTGGGCGAACTGCATGGCGTCGAATGCGGGATAACGTGAGACAAACTAGGGAAAAATATTCTTTCGAGTGTCGATCATATTATGCAATCGTAATTCTACACTGATTTTTACTAAGCTTCAATCAAAGTTATTAACGTAAATTA